TGTCGACTTCGACCTGTAATTACCCACTTCCCACAACAGGGTACCAACATCCCCAACTGAATTACCCCTTTCCCTTGTTGCAGGTCCTGCGAATTGCATGATCGGTAGGGTATCGGTAGCCAATTTCCCCAAGAGCTTATGCCTCAGGGTCCTTGGTAGCATGCTGAATTCCTCACTTGCTTCTCACATGTCTTTTCTCTGGATCGTTGGGTTCAGTATGGTTCATCTTCCGTTGTCTCAGTACTGCTTTCCTTTTGCTCCTCATTCTTTGCTTCAGTTCCCTGAAAATTTGTCAACGAACGTCTGGATGCTACAGAGCACATGCCTCTTTCTTTCTTTCTTTCATGCGGGCTATGGGCTGCCATGTGCTCTTCTTCTTCTATAGGCTCTGCAAGACCCGAAGGCCTTGCCGGGGCGTACCCCAAAGCCCGCGCTCAATCCAATGGTCGGTCAACCCAGGAGGCCCGGAGTTCGTGGTCACTGTGAATGGAACTGGGTCAAAACATAGGTCTTATATAAATTCCAGAAACACTTTCCCACCTTCCATTCCCACGTGACGAACCTCCCTACTCCACTGGGGGTGTGAAACTATTGCCTGGACCTGTTCCCACTCATTGGTGTTCGCTACACCGTCTCATTCCCACAAATCAGTCCACTGCTTTACCCAGGTTCAATTTATCATTTGAACAAGGTGTGGACCCCATCTCTTTCACTCATCGTGATTTCCCGGGAACAGGTGTTGCCCGTGTTGCCGCACTCCTGGCAGCTTCTCGAGCCCTTGGGTGGACTAGGGTTAGGCACAAGCTACCGTCATAAACTGCAGACCCCCTGCACTAGCTCGCACTATGTTTTCCTGATCCCGGGATCATTCGAAATGGTGTGAAACTTCTGCGTGATGTTTGCATTGTGACCACAGGAGAACTGCACAACTCACAACCTCCCGACATATCTCCATAACTCGCCATGCATTACCACACTATTGCCATACCTCAGCAGATCTTTCTGGTTCCATGCATCACTCTTTTTCTACCTGACGCACTGTCCCTGGGGTAATTATGAATCAATATACGAGTATGTTGCTTCGGGCTCGTCCCCCCCGTCGACGACACTATTGGCTTTTCCTCTGGCCTTTTTCTTTTTTCGAGGGATTTCTTTTCGTCCGTTGGCCACACTCTGGGATTTCAGTGCTTTGTCAGTATTTACAGCTTCTCCCGGATTGAATTTTGGGCTTGTCTTTCATTTTTCCAGCAAGGACTTGTGGTTACTACCCCTCCCTTAGCTATCCAGGACCTAACACTAGTTGCCATGTGCTCTCTCCGTCTCTCTCTCTGTCTCTCCCTCTCTGCTCTACATGCACTACGCCAATGATTTCAATGCAAACTTCTGGTACGACATGGTTGCAGCCAGAATGCGATTGGCCACCATGTAGAGGCCTGAAAACCTCAGGAAGGCAAAACAAAGAACGACTGAGCAAGCAAAAGCATCGCAAGGCTACACGCACATGCAAAATGTTGTGCCAGTGCAGTTCTACACCCGGGGCAAGGTGCATGACCCAAATCACTCCACCGAAGGTGAAAACGGTTGCAATGAGGGGACCGTCCTTTGCATGCTAAGAAATCGCTGCGGCAACAATTCCCTGACACCTGGTAGTTTCCTGGCGTTCTACATGCATGCCTTGAAAATGGCCATAGCGGCCACAGCAAAGGAGGAGCGACGGCACTTGTACTACAGCAAGTGAATACTGACACCCTTCCCAGACGCCTCATCGAAAGTATCAATGATGGCCTTGATGCCAGCCCCTGTTGCACTCGGCGTGCGAACTGCCATCTCGATCATCCGGACGAGGCTGATGAATTGGATGTTGTAAAACCTGGGGTGATCTAAGCTGTTCACTCTAGCCTGGATCAAAGTGCACGCTACTGTGCTAGTAGCAAGCACCTGCTCCGGAATGACAATGACAACTTCTGCAAGACGGCAAAGGAAGCGGTTTTTGCTAAAAAAAAAAACTCAACCTCGAGCAAATAAAACCTGGACCCCAGAGGAACACAGAACCAAACAAACAAATCAAATTATTTGCTTCGAGCATCCCCACCCTAAAGCCGTTATTACACAAGAAGTGTAACGTTTCCCTGCCCCCCCCTGAACTGTCTTCCTTGCAGCGCTGCAAATGCGCTGCAAGAATATAACTTTTCGGTTGGCCCTGCAGGTCGAGGATACTTAGTGGCATAGTGGTTGAGCACTGCAGGGATACTTGTTGGTTGGTCACTAAAGTCAGCTTCNNCCACTGCGAGGGTGGGGAACAAAGTGTAGACAAATCCGAACCTGAACCCAAGATCCCCAAGCGGAATCCTAAGTATGGGATCTCTCAGCAAAGCCGCACATCCTTGTGGAAGACGATGTCGAGCAAGGAGGGCATCATGGCAATCATATCGATCCACGCATAAGCATTCAGAAGCAACGCCACAAAGGGCGCCGCACTGCCTTAGAGGCAAAAAAAAAATCTCAATGGCATCCCGACACAACATGGAACCTCTATGAACCTATCCTGCTTGTCTACTCCAAGAAGCGATAGGCCTTCCACCAGGGATGTGCTGGAGCCGACAAAGCTCGAAACAGGAGACCTTGTTTGTCACATGTGCAACTGCAAGTGATAGTGGTACTGCACTGCTTCAAATCTTGTTCATCGAATAGTGTGACTCCCAGACTCGCGTGCTCAAAAGTTTGCTGAGGCATTCGACTTGTAGTCAGAACTGCGGCTCCAATGATCTGCAGAATCACCTAAGCTGATTCCTCACAGGTTTGTGGACTGCGGGCCTCCTGTCAAGCGGGTTCAGATTTTCCTCTTGCCAGCCAGCAAAACTAGTTCACAGAAGTGCGGAAGCAAGGATTCTTGTGCGCAACTGCGACATGCTGCCTTGCCGACCAAAGCTCATTCGCCCGCGGAACCCAGGTCACCAGCTTTCGCTTGAAGCCGAAGCCGCTCGTGGCCTCCAGGACCAGGGAATGTGACGGTGGCAATCAATACAACTCCCATGTTTGTCTTTAAAGTCTGTCCGTGCGTGGTGAAGCCATGAAAGGAAGAGGAAAAAGGCCGGCTTCGCAAAATCCGAAAGCTACCAAAACACTTGTAGATTGCAATGCACTCACTTATCCACAGTTCCGCCTGCTTGTCGTGATCGAGCTCTGTCGACGCAGCAAAGACTACAAAGTTTGCCAGGCCCATGACAATGACCAAAGGATCCTGGCATTTGTCTGCCGACGCAGCTATCGAAGGGTTACAGTGGGCGTGAGAAGGCAGAATTGCTCAAGCAAGGCTCCAGCAAGTGGACATCAATCCAGTATGCCCCACGGGCGAACGCAGATGGCTCCACAATGCCGTCATCGATGTCCTTCGAATCATCTCCTGAGACTGGCTGCACAACTTGAGCACAAAAGCAACTGAATCCAAAAGTCCATTGAAGTCCATTAACCAATTTTCATGAAACAATTTACTCGCTTTCAAAGGCTCTGAGCTGGGAGACGATGCCCATCAAAGCCACCAAAGCCATGGACAGCACCAGGAACAAGCCTAGCCTCGGCCAAACCCTCCTGACCTCCGCTTCTACCTTGCGCTTCTTCCGCTTCCATGCACCCTCCAGGGCCCCAGCCAGCCGATCTCAAGAAGCAGCTTGTCTCCCAAGGTCATGTTCCAAGCCTCCTCTTCCTCTTCACCTGCAGTAGCGTCTATAGCAGTCGGCCAGTTTACTTGTGAAGGTCACCCACAATCACGAGTCATCGTTCATGGATGCAGGCCTTCCTCACCATCTTTCTCACCCTCGCCCTCAACTTCGCCTTCGTCCTTTGCTTCCTCGCCAGCCTGCTCCTGAAGCACAGCAGTGCTCTGAGTCGCAGATTCTTTGTGGTCTGACCCGGCGGAGACATTAGTCAAGCTGAGCTAGCCTAAGCCTAGAAATGAGGATTATCAGAAGGCTCCTTGTCCTCGTTTTCATCTAGGGGGCCTCCGCCCTTGTCTGTCTTCAGCTGCCCATGTTCATGCTCGTCGGACTCGCCGTTGTGCTCATGGTGGCGCTTATAGTGGTGATGAAAGTTACCTGGGAAAACAGTCCAACATTCCGAATCGGTTGAAGCTGGCTCAGTGAAACGACTGGCAGCGACAAAACCAAATTTCATGCACCCAAGATGCGTCCGTGCTCGTTGCCTGACTGTGGCTCACACACAGAAGGGCTACCAGCTCCACAGCTCACAGCACGGCAGGCAGCGAGCTGGACCCGCCAAGCGGCCGTGGACATGCGGCCTGTGATGATGCTCCACTGCAGGCTTTGGCGCCTGCGTCATATTTTTTGAGGAAGCTGATGAAGGCAACCATTTTTGCATGTCGACTCTGATTTCTCTCTCACACGGACTCGAGTGGACTGCGGCCTGTCTGCTACAAACACCACAACTTTTTCACTGACACGAAAATCCCCATCACACGCAGAAATCCTAGCTTCCGCTGAGCACGCCACCCGCTCCTCGCCGTTAAAGCTGTCATCGCCCCCCTGGATGTCAGTAGCGGTCACTTCCTTCTCAGGCCTGAGAAGATCCCCTGCGATTACGGTTTTTCAAGATGTGGTAGCCCATACAAAATTTTGCTGCTGGGTCATAAGTGTGGCCCCTTCTGTCGGACTGCGGATTGGATTTCAATGTCCAAAGTGGGCCGTGCGGGGAAGCAAAGGGCACAATGAAATGCATTCAAGCGTGCTTTTTGGACTGGCATACATTGCAGGCATGCAACGTATTGCCACCATCAGCCCCGCCATCCGTCCTAGAAATTCCTGAGACGCATCGTTTTTAAACAGCGGAAGATGCTGCCACAGCTGCCTCTCACACACAGCTGCTAGCAACTGAGGATAATACTTTTGACTGCTACCGGCCCCATTATACCATGACATCAAGGATTGACAACGTTGCTGAAACGGCGTCTTCAGCAGAGGCCGCGGCTAAATCCAATCTGATCAACGGAGGATGCCTTCAGCTCAGCATACGGGCAAAGATGCCCACTACACGGCTGCTCAAATGACGCGGCGCAGCTCCCCCACACCAACTTTTTGCCCTGGAAACTAAGGAAGCAGCAACGCCATTAGCAGGGGCCACGCCTGCCTTCCCGCTGCTAAAGCCAGGTGCATGGCGTTGGCTCTGGATATAATTCTAGCAGCCACCCCTGCCTCATCCTGTCCCAGGTCCAGCTCAAGAGATGGATCCCTGTCAATCTCATGAACTGTTTCAAATTGCATCCAATCCAACATCTAAAGAAGCTTATATAGAAATGCAGGCTGCGGTGTGGACTGGATCATGAACTGGGCTCCAGGGCCCTGGTAAGAAGTCCCACTCAAGGTGTTAAACGAGCCAGAAGCACCGGATCGATTGCACCAGAGGCGCCAAGGACCAAGTAGCGGCTAAGACCTTCGATAGACCGAACGTTTGCTCGGTCCAGAAGGTCATCCCTCGGAATCCCTGCTGACCCGGGCCATTCTGCGCCTAGCCTTGTTTTTCACCTGATTCCGCCTTCTACGCGCGCACAACCTGACTGCACAAGTGGTTCGGACCAAGGCGCATGTACATGGAAAGCTTTCCAGGCTACCATTGCTCAGACACACGTCATATTTTAATAACTTGAGCCAAAAGCCGCAAAACGTGGCTCCGCAAGACTTTTACTCTCTCAGGCGGCCTAAAGTCCGCAGTCTGCCGAGAAAGAACCTCCTGAGTTCTAGCAGCTGTGGGGTTGAAGCTGCCTTCCCAGCTTCAGGTAGCAGGCGGCACGGCAAGTTCGGTAGACGACACAGTCCTGGCAGCAAAGCCAAAGGCATGGATTCATGGGAAAAGCTCATATCACATCACAGCGCATCCACAAAGTATCTCACTCACATCCAGTATCTTAGCTCAAGACAGGCTAGCCCAAGACAGGAGAGACAGCCTGCCTCCAGCGTGACTGCCAGTGTGTAATTCTTCAGCGCTTCCTCATACTCCTCATTCACGTAGAGTACCTGATGCATGCAGTCTCAATTCCTTGCAAGTGCAGACCCATGAAAGACCGAAGTCCGTGCCTAACGCAAACCATATGTACACATCACAAGCATGCTATGATGCAAGCAAGTCATAGAAATGCTGCACGTCTAGATTTGGTAGAGGCCCCCTCATGTCGGGCACATTAGCATTGCCGAAGAGGGCTGCCGGATCCATCGCCAGAGGCTCGACAGGGGCCGTTCGCTCCACTCTGGAGTCCGCTAACTGCCAAGCCAGCACATCGGATAGCACCTCAAAACCGCAGCAAAAACCTGCTAAAAAAGCGCTGCTCTGCAAGTGCTTGCACCCCCGCAAATCAGTTCCCATCAATCTGACTGGGCGCATGCAGTCTCATTTTGAATGGTCCTTGATGGCTTTTTTGGGGTCTGTCTGTATGTACACCCTGCCAGTGTGTTCGGCAGATACCACAGATGCTGCAGAGCGAAACTACTGAGCATCTGCAGAAGAACCGCAAATCGAGCTGACCTTCCCCTCAGTGACCTGAACAACAAATAACTGCACAGAAAAGGCGAAGCATAGCAAGATGTCAGGCCCATGAATTCTTGCCGTATGGAAGACAGGACACTTGCAAAGGAGCTGGAGGGCCAGGAGAACGCAGGGACATGCTTACATCACCTAGAAACCACCCCGGCACAGACAAGCTTTTGGAAATCCGTGTTTTTGGTGCAGAGGACCCTGAACGCCGAGAGCCAGTTGGAAGACCAAGGGACAATCTGAATTGGATGATTTCTGCAGTTGCTATTGAGTTGCCGAATCTGTGTGTAACTGCGACACCACAACTTTGAAAGGGTATATGACCGATATATGGATATAATCTAACGTCAGATAACAGCATGGACATGACTCTTCAAAAGCACAAACAAGAGCAACCGCACAATCACGCTCCTTTTCGAATGCAAAGTGGAGAGTGGTGGCAGTCGCAGTGTGTCCCTCGGTCCTGTCTTTCCAGTGCCCAATCGGCCCCGTCACGTTCAAGGCCAAGGGCACCCGTACGTTCTGGGGCCATCGGCCCAAATCAAAAGATGAAAAGGCTGCCCTAAAACTGACGCCAAACGACTCCAGCATGGGAGACTGCCGCCGCCTGCCCATCCGGCACCCTGCACAAGTCCTAGGTCCTAGGATGGGGCACGAGGCTAAACGAGAGGCTGAGGTCCATAGAGGACGACATTCAGAAGGTTAAAATGAGGAAGTACTGACTCAACGGACACAAAAGGCCCTGCGGGTTGATCACATAGCCCCGCCACGTGTAAACTTCCACCAGGCGAGTCTTCTTCCAGCCGGGGGGAACCCCAGGCTCAAACAGGAGCAAGCAAATTCCCACCGCGAAGATTGGGGCGTTCTTGGCGCGGAGAAGCAAGGCGAAGTCATCCACAAAGACATAAGCCCAGTCCACCCAGGGGAAGACTGCGTAAAGGATGCGGAACAGAGCTGCTGCTTGTCGACTCGAGTACAGCTGGGCACTGGCCAACCAATATGTCCCTAGCTTGTTCACAAACCACTCGCCACTGAGCTCCGCCGGTACTTCCATTCTTCTGGAAGGACCTTGATCCTACGGTGGGCCCTGGTGACATCCGCCTTGAGTATCACCCAGGAGTCATGATCTTCTGGCCAAGTCCGTTCGGACCGCGAAGAGCGGTCCGAGGGGGGACCAGTTTGGCTGCTTGGAGCCAATGCAGAGAGTGGACACAGTCCATGACTGCGAGAGCAGTTTTCTTTTGTGTTCTCTTGTACATTGTACATGCACATTTGCACCTCCTCAAAAGCCACCGAAGATGGCATGTATATTGTCGAGCTTGTTGATCCCTGCCATAAAGGCAAAGGTCGCTCGGTCAGCATTTGCATTCTCGAGCCGCCATTTTTCGACTGAGGGGGCCAGAGACCATTCCCAGGGCCACTTCCTCCATGAAGGTGGATCGAATTTCGGCCGAATAGGATTCCGCGGAGGAGTAGTTGGAGTGTCCCTGAGGCAGTGGAACCACAGGAGGGTCCCAGTCCTCCCCTGTCAATTCTGCTTTGAGAGGCCAAACTCCTGGCGATCTCAAAGTGGACACCTCCGCAAGGATGTCCTCATAGGCGACATCGGGATCACCACAGGCTGACAGGAGGTGCTTGATCACGTCCAGCTAGAAGGGCTGCCCCGACCCCGGAGCCTTATGATCTGGCAGTATGAAAGACCTGATTTTCTGCAGCACTGCTTCGGGAAATGGGTATTCCTTAGCTCCTGCCGAGAGCGACTGTTGGAAAGAAGAAGTAAAGTCCTCTGCAACGCTGAGGATGAATTGCCCCACATGGGCAAGGCCTTGCTGAGGGCGAGACGGCGGCGGCAACCTACCAGGCGAGGGCTTACCCCCTCCATCTCCTAGGGCCTAGGGGGCGAGTCTTAAACCCATGTGATCCACACGGTCTCCGCGAGAAGGTCCAACTTCCTAGCAAGGGGCAGGGATTGAGGTCTATCAGAGGGTGTAACCTGTAATTTCGAAGGGCCAACGCCCTTGTGCTTTCTGCCCTCTTGCTGAGGTCCTTGTCCTGTTCTCGGACTGCGATGGAGATGGCTTCCACCAATCCTTTCATTATTGCTTCCGGGTATCTACTGGGATCCGAGGAGGACAGGGAGTTGTCCTCAGGCCGTCCCAATGCATCAACGGCAGTGCTGTTGCAATGGTTGTTGCTTTCCTGGCTACCTGACCCATTTCACACTGATCAAAACGGATGAGAAACATTTGAAGGGACCTCGCCCATTCCTGGACTGCCGGGGTCACCCAAATGGATGAACATGTGTGAGCAACTGGTGTTTGCTGGATGTCTAGGATGCTCCAGAAAGGACGGAAAGGTGTGGTCTTTGGTCCATTGCTTTCTGAACTGAGGCTGCCAAACCCACTGGCGCTTACCGCCTTTGCCTTTCCCCTTGGCTGGGCCCGTGGCACCTTTGCCGGCATGATGGACCCGTTCATAGACCTCGCGCTGCCAGAACAGGAGGTCTTGTTTTTTCTCTTTCATGGCTTCCTTCAGGGTAGAGCCCTCAGACATCAGAGGTTGTGGATTTGCCGCCAGGCATTGCGTTCTGCGAAGAGGAGGGTCCGATCACCTGGCAGTGGGGAGCGTCCTGCAAGGTTTGGACCCCAAAACCAAGAATACCAAACATCAAGGTTTTGCTTGGGGGCATCGAACTGACTGAACTGAGGAAAGGCCAACATGCACATGACAAGGTTGTTCCGGAAGACCTGGTGCATACGGTCAAGCTGCCTGCGACTTGACGGTTCTTTTCGTTCCTGCTCTTCTTCTTCCCATTCCCATCCATCAATG